GGGGGGGGGGGGGGGGAGCAGACGGCGGGGGGAAATAATGTCGTTTGTCCTTCAGGATGGGGAGTGAATGGGGAACGATGCGCTACGATACTGTTGTTCTCATCTGGCGTAGTTTTGGCGCACGGGGGGGCACTGCTGTCATGGCGTCATTGTTCTCTTTGCTCCTCGCATATCGGGTCTGACAAACATTGTTGCATGCACAGAGCGATACAAAGCCAAATTAAGGCAACACTCCGTCTCCTCACCTCCGAAACAGGAACAGCTACGCTCTCCGTGCCCGGGGTCAAACCTCCCTCCTGTTCGCTGCCCGGACCCCTCTCCGTCAGTGCCTGACACTCAATCCTGTCCCGGTCCAACAGAAACAGTTCTGGTAACGTCTTCCTGCGTTCTCCCTCTCCACCGTCTACTACTCCCGTTTCCCCACTGGACCGTCGTCGAAGAACCTCGCCGCTGACCGCCTTTTGGATGGTCCTAGCAGCCTCGGCAAGAAGTCGTTCCGGCGCCGGCGTTTCAACGCTTCCCGGTTTGCCCGGCGCTTCCCTCTCCTCCGTCGAATCCACCTTGTCGACTATTTTCCCCTCAAGATTTTCAGCTCTCGTTTCCCCAAGTTTCCCCTCCTGCTCGCTGTCATGCTTCACCGTCGCCGCCCACTCGGCAGGCGATGATGCTACTTTGCCTTCCCCGTGTGCGTCTCCGTCGACGCTTTCGGTCTCGAGATACAGCTTTCCGTCCCGGCCGTTGTCCAGCTCCATGTACAGCTTGCCGTCGCGGCCGTTGTCGAGACACGGATCGCTGTTGTTGACGTGGTACCAGGGCTCAGAGCATCCCAAAAGAGTCGATATCTGGTGCTGCCGTTGCCCGTCGGAGTCGGGATCGATGCGGTAGAGCTTGCCGCCGCGACTGTTGTCGCGAGGGGTAGGTTCTCGACCTTTGTCTTGTGCTGTCCTGTTGCCAGGTAGTTTCTTTCTCTGCCTGCCGCCGGGCGGCGAACCACCTTTCTTGCTGCGCGAGGGAGAGCTTCGGGTTGCAACTCGCGTGAATTTTGATAACTTCCTCGCCCTCGCCGCCGTTGTTGCCGCCGGTGCTGCCGTTGTTGTTGCTGCCGGTGCTGCCGTTGTTGTTGCTGTTGCTGCTGCTGCTGTTGCTGCTGCTGCTGCTTGTGATGTTCGCCCCGATAGATCGGTCTGCGTCGTTTCCCGGGGTGCTTTCACTTCTTCTTCGACAGAACATTCTCTTTTGCTTTGGGAGTCAGACCTCGAAGAATCAAAGCGGTTAGTTTGGCCACTAGACAAGCCCATGCCGCCGCTGGGCTTGTCACTACCTTCTACTACACTCGCCTTCTCCGAGCGTGGCCGAGTTGAGGTGCTATTCGTCATCATCGTCCCCGTCGCATTGCCACTCGGTCCTCGCCGTGTGGAAGACTTGTCGTTGGCCACTCCTTCGGTCACCACCCTACCGTTGTCCTCCACCTTCTTCGTCACAGTCAACTCTTTCGCCCCTCTCAACTCTCCCGAGCACTGGTCATCGCCATCATTATGATCCCGTGAAGCCTTGTTCAACAGGGGCGCCAACGACGCGAGGCCTTCCGATGCTCGTGCGCTGAGCGACCGGATACGACCAACGCGAGAGCTCCTATTGTTACCGTTCCTACAACTGCTACCCGGATCGCCCATTCCAAACAACGCGCCGCCACCCCCCGGTCGAGCCCCCCCGTCCTCCAGTCGAGGGTAGGCGCTTTTTGGCCGTCGAGAAGAGTCAGCGGCACACCGCCGTTGTTGTCGCCCGCTGTTGGTCTCCGCGACCTCCACACCCACCGCCGGTACATGCCTAGCGCTTTCGATAGGCGAGCCGGTAATTTCTACCCCTCCCCTTTCTCCAGGAGGCTGCTCCTGCTGCCGCCGCCGACGCTGCTGCTTCTTCTGCTGCTGCCACGTTGGTTCCACCACCGAGGGCGCATCGGCAACCTCCTGAATGACATCAATCTGGTCGAAGTACGTTCGTCCTTGTACGCCTCGGTCTCGTTCCCTCACGATGTCGGCGGATGCCGGCCTCTTTCGCGACAGCTTTGGTCGCATCGTCGGGTCACCGGCAGCACGGCCGCTCGCCGGCCGTGGTCGCGCACCCGCCCCGACTGCTCTATCTAGGTCCCTCCCTGCTATTTCTTCTTGAAGAACCCCTCTCCAATGATGTTGGCGGTGGCGCAGCAAAGGGTCCCTCTGGTAAAATGCTTCTGGATTTGATGTCGGCACTGCACCGCCGCCGCCATCGTCATGACCGTTCGTGGTAGCACAGTTTCGGTAGTTGCTGCTGTTCAGGTGGTTGCTCCTTGTGTGCGACCGCCGCTCGTCGCTCGCTCGCTGCCTCTGAGCTCGACAGAAGGCGGGCCACTCGGCCCGTCGGTGAGAATACAGGCGGTTGGCGTTGCCGCCACCGTAGCTTGCAGCCGAACCGCCGTCCGAAGTGGTGGGGACGTTATTACCAAGAGGGTCGAAGGCGCGGAAGGGAGACGGATACCCCTCGCTGGAGGTACGGTCTCTTCTTTCGGTACCGTTGATTGCAGCGAAGGGGGTGGTAGTAGAGATGTCGTGTGGTGGGTGTGTTGTTAGTTCAAGCGTTGCTGAAAAGCTTGTTGGCTGATGCTCGTGACCTATGCATCCGACGAGCTTGTTGTGATAAAAGAAGGCAAGCCCGGGTACCTGTCTCGCTGCCACCACATGCTTCATGTAAAGCTGAAACCAACCTGGGTCTCGGACCCACGATCAGCTGGTATAGGAGCCAACACCAAACCATTTGACTAGACTTGTCAGCGCTGCCTAGTCAAGTGGTGTGGTTTTGGCTTCTGTATTCGGTGACAATCAGGTATCAAGCGTCCTATTCTTTGACCACAAGTCCATTGGTCCTATACTCTCCGTACATGGGTTACATTACTCCAAATCTGCGTCATCGTAAGGAAGTGTACCGTGTGTTTACCTTCGGTTGGACTGCTAGGCAACGAAAGAGGTATCGAGCAATCGCGTTTCCGTCCGATTGCTGCAAACCATGCATAGAAACCCTTAATTATACTGCCCAATACTGCCGATCGTCATTCCTTGCAATCATGCTAGCCGCGCCACGTCAAAAGCACCTGATGGGAACCGCCCCGCTTGTCGAGGGACCCTTCTCTGCGCCGCCTGATCGCCCCAGCTGGAGGGGTGCATACTTCTGCTCTCGGCGAAAGCACGCGTTGGCAGAAGCAAAGACGAGGCGACACATGAAGCCGAAGCCTGGTCATGTTGTGGTGGTGTCACCGTCAATGCTAGAGTGCCCATAACTGACAAATAGCGATGTCTAGCCGCCGTCCACGTGTACAGTCCGCAGCAAGGCACAGACGACAACATGTTTCAATCGGCCAGTTTCAGGTACTCGCCCACCTTTCTTGCCCCAGCAAAAGATCGCTGAAAAGTCTTCAAAAGCTCCTCGTTGTTCACGTGTGGATCACGCGCCAGCTGGACGGCCTCGCCATACCTGTGTTGTGTAGCACCGACGGTATTGACAGGACGATGCAATATGTTTGGGTGGAAGCGCCACCATCGAACAGGGGCCATGCCACTCTGCTGGTCACGTTACTCTTACAACGAAACACGTCACCCCCCTACGGGGCAGAGCCAACATCATTTGCTCGAAGATTTCCGCCAGTCCCTCGTCGGCTTCCAAAGCCCCACGTCAGACTATGTCAGCTCTGAAGAAAGCGCCCATGTCAATCAAGACCCCCACAAACACACAGCCACGACCCCGCAACCTCTCTCCCTCTCCTTGACAGTACGAGCGATCGATCCCACTCACCAGCGAAGGCACGCCTCGTAGCGGTGTGTGTACTCTAACTCGACGGCAAGATTGTAGTAAGCCACCGCAAGCGTCGCCAGCCGTGCTTTTCTGCTCCCACCGACTCCTGCTGATGACGATGCTCGTCCTTCGTGGCTCCTCCCCATCTCTTCTGCCACGCCTGCATGCGTTCCAGCTTCCTCAAGCTCCTGGCCATGGTACACGGCCGATCTAGCGTGCTCTAGCGCTTCTTCGTGGCTACAGACAGGGTAGAGAACAAGCAGCAAAACATCGATAAGTGAACACGTTGTTGGAGGCTTCATCCGTAGCCCTTGACTTTGCGTGCGCTATAGGATTGGCAGGCGAAAGGCAAACCCGTCGGGGACATGGTGTCTCCCTGACGGTACGAAAGCAGCTCGTACACTTCTTCCACGCTTTCGTGCCGTTTGTGCGGTACCGCCTGAGCGTATTTGAGTGTTATATCTCACCGGCCTAATTCTGACAGCACGGCGCAAGCGTTGAGGTGCGTTACTTCGAGGTGCTCGCTTCCACACGAACGCCGCCCCAGCTCCGCCGCACGTCTTAGACACCGGAGAGCGCGCTTGGGTTCGCCGAGTCTTCGCGCATGCGCCCAGCATCACAGCACGTGGTCGTCGCAGTACCGAGAAAAGGAGTGCGCGAACAACAGAACGGGGTAGACTCAAAGAGGGACGCGTTGCAGGATGCGCCTAGACAAAAGAAACAGAGAGGAAAATCCGCCTAAGAGTGGTTCCAATGTACCGATATACCGTAGCCCACGGACCTCGTGGTGTGACAGAATTGGAGCTAGGACGGGATTGTTGTTTCAGCACCCAACCCGCACACACAATACTTGCGAGGCGAATGAGGAGGTTGGTGGCCATGATTGAGGCTACAGCTGCCTACTCATGTAGCTGCCTCGACGCTGGCAAGTTCTGTTTTCGTTTGCATATTCCGTCGAGACTCACCTATGCGGATTGCTAAACACACATACGGCCGGCCTTCCAGCAAGCAAGTTGACCTTGCTTCACCCCGTCCGAAACCTCACATTGTTCCACAACGCAGTACTACATACATATATTCCCGTACACATTGTCGTGAAGGACGAAGTGGTATATCCAAAAACACCACTGTAGTGCGGCGTGAGAAGGGAGATAAGCCGTGTCGACTAATTATCAGAATTTTTCGCCGATTTACAGTCGCTTCGCCGCATTACCTCCTATACAAGCACGCTGTGTTGTTGAGCGTTAGTATCTGGAGGGCCGGGTTGCCGCTGCTGCCGCTCCCACTTGCACCCTCTTTCCTACAATTCCCGTCGCTGTTTTTGCTGTTTCGCTGTCGCCGTGTTGCGCTGCTCGCTATTTGGAACGCTCGTTCCAAGAGATCTCTGCAGCGCTCCGTGTTGCCACGACCAAGGGTAGACATGGCGAGGGAGTTGCACGCCACGATCGTGTCCTTGAAGGCTTTCTTCGCGGCTGAGCTCTGCAGAACGCACGAGGTTCGGGTTGTTGGATTCAGCTTTGTCATGCATTCAGCCCGACGCGATTACAAGCGCATTGTACCATATCTATCTGCCGTGGTAGCAACGAACGAGGGTGCTTCAAGGTGGTAGCATTGGCCTTTGTTCATCGAGAGTGGAGACAGCGACGGCGACTGAAATGGTATCAACTATCGTGCCTACATATTCTTCCTCTGTGCACCATTCAGATGATAACGTAGTGGTGCCCACCTCAGTAGGTATTAGTGTCCCATGGATATGACACGTTCACATTTACCTTCGGAGAGCTCCGTGTACATTGGTGGTGGTTGTACTTAAGTGTGACTACCCCCAACTTGCGCTAATTGTACGTACCTGGGGTCCAAACATTCGCGTCTTCAGTACTGCACCGCGCTCCAAAAGGTCGACGTACTGCTTTCATGTTGACCAGACAGATACGAGGCGTATACCACACGAAATGGGGTAGGGGACCTTCATGCAAGAAAACACAGTGTCGGCGTCAACACATACAGCCAATAATGACCACCTCCACACTTTTGTTTTTGGGAGAAGATGCTCTGCACCAAGGGATACAAATAGATAGTCCGAAACACCCCTGTTGTCTAGACTACTCCCACCCTTTGATGTTGGGACGCGAACTCGCATCTCGTAACACGACGAGCTGGTCTTACTCTACCGCCACCATGCCCCACAAGGTAGCGGACGACTGCTGTACACTACTGTAGACAAATATGATGTATTTGGTCGGGGGTATAGATTGATCCAGAACACTTCGAAAGAGTCGACTTCAGGGTTGACGAGGGAAATGGATGGCTAAATAATTCTCGGGATAAAACTTAGGCAAGCACCGCAGAAGGTGACTTGCCGATGTACCGGAACGTGCACTCGGACGAGAACATGGATGGGAGTGACAACACACATAGAATATGCATACATCTAGACGCACATCTCCAGGGCAACTTGCCGAGCTCACTCCCACGACTTTGAGAGCGATGTGGTCGTTTAGCTGCAGATACCTCGACCTCCATGGCACATAAACTTTTCGTACGCTATATAGCAAGTCTAAACGCATGCCGCGGCGGCGGCGGCGGCACCGGTGCCGTATGGTTTTATGAAAGTAGGTTCAGTCCTGAAGTGAAACCATTATTGGTGACGGTACAGCAGCATAGACGGCGCACATGTAGTCTGAATCTCGTTAATAACGAAATGGTGTCGTCCAAGCCCAATACAGCTGCTAGCACATGTCGTGTTCAGTTAAACCAAAGCGTGCGGAATGCCACGCACGCACATACATGTCAGCAGGGCGGAAGGGTTGGTTCGTGTTGCTTCTGCTGTATGAATATCTCATCTTACCGCCGTTGAAGGCCGTCGATCTTGCTTCGAGTGTTCCGCCAAAAAAAAATCCACCAAGCGCAGAGCAGCTGTGTCATCATCTTCACCACCAACTCCTCCGAGATATAGGCCTTCTGTATCCCATTCCCGTCTACCGTCACCACCGTCTTCATCACCATAAGGTGGATCAAATATCTCGCCTCCGACGTTGCCGTTACAGTCGCGGTCACATCCGAAGGCGTAGTCGGGATTCTGCTTCCCACGATGTGGTGATGATGATATCGGTGGTGCCCGTCTATCACGGTGATCTACGACGGGATCGTCTGAACGACCATCGTACCACGGCATGCTGCATTTCACACGCTGTACTGGCCCGTAACTCCCGGGCTACGCTTGCTTCTATTTCGGACGTCGGAAATCTTTGCA